CTTAACCATATTTGCAAAAAATTAAAATATATTTTTAATGAAAATAATATATTTTCAAATAAAATATGATTATAACAGCATATTTTGCGTTGTATTTTGCTGAAACGTAAAACGTTAAATGTAAATGTGATTTGTCTTCACAATCATTGCTGAATGTAACTATTTTTATGATGAAATTTCTTGTTGATACTGTACTGTTGATATCAGATATCAAACTTTTTAATGTTATTTTTATAACAAACTTTGCAAAATCGATTTATGGAATTGAACTTTTCAAAAGAACATTGAAAAAAAATGATCATCACGTTACGTGGGTCGCTTCCGCCTTATAACATGATAACTGCAACTTGATATTTTGACATCGATATATAATATAATTATACGACATATTTTATGATAAATTATATTTAATTAACGAAGAGAGAAACATATGAGAGTCGTTTGATGAGTCCTTAGAAAATATACGAGATGGTGATAAATCCAAAAATGATTGAAAAAATCTATGATATCATGTTAGAAAATTGCAGAGTGAAAATACGTGAGATTGTTGAGATTATAGAAATCGAACGAGTTTATATATTATAAATTTGGATATGAAAAAGCTATCTGCAAGGTGGATATATCCGCGTTTGTTCATAATTTCTATTTGATCAATTCTAATTGATCAAAAATGAAATTGAGTGAACATTTCAAAGCGTTGTTTGAAAAGTTCAAGTGTTATCCAAGATTTTTGCATCGTTTTGTAACTGTTGATGAAACGTGGATCCATTACTATACGAAATTTTGGTGTAAATACACCAGAGATAAAAGAATAATCAAAACAATGAACTTCTGATGAACGTGCGTCAAAGAAGGCAAGAATAGTTTCATCAGCTGAAAAGATAACTGTTTTGAGAGCAGGGCATATACGACTCACGAGGCAGCTAACATATTAAAAATAGAATAGTTAAATAAATAGTTAAATAATAGTTAAATAATCTTAAAAATGTATAATCAATACATAAAATAGCAAAAAATATGGAGAAATTAGACGTTACGATTATTTCTTTAGTAACGTGTATTAGTATGCTTTTATCGGTATAATTATATTTACAAACCTGACACACGGGCAGTCCCAGCAAAAAATATTATACGTTAAAGAACGGAAAGATTATTTTTCTATGTATTTTTAAACATTATGTAAGTTTGATTCATATTCTCTTGCTATAGTGTCAAAGCTGTATACCGTAAATCATATTTATAAAACATTTAATACGGGTTTGTCGAATTCGTGTTGTATCATAACCATTACCTTTCTAACGATATTGTCACAGACTAGTTACCTTAAGTTTACATTTTATGTTTACGGTTACGACAATTTGCGTGTAAAAGCCCTTATGTTTGTATATCACTATTTGTTTTACACACCTTTATAGTCACACCAAGAAAATCTCGTTCGAACCGCACACATTGTATACACACATATTTCTCATAAGCAACTTTATCCGCACGGAAATGTTTGAATTTTGTGAGATTATATGAATTGAAAAGAGAGAACTTTGCCTTTTAATTTTTTGTGCATAGACACGTCGCGGAATATAGTCTGAGAATTCTCCAAAAAGTCTGTCAGAAAGAAAATATTTTCCGATAACGTAACCGGCTGCTGCTCCTACATATAAGACTGCGATTGCAAATCACGTTTAGCGGATTTTGGCCAAGCATGTGAGACATTCATGAGCACGACTTCATGAGATTATACTGGTCAAAAAATTTCGCACCAAATTGTATTTTTTTTTAATTTTAATTTTTTTTCTATTTATGTTTATGTATTGAAATGGACAACGACAATAAGACAATTATTTAGCTATAGTTCAAGAAATATAAGCTGTACTTTAATTTTTATAAATAAATAATATAAGATAAAAACATAAAAATAAAACAATAGAACATATTTTTATTATAATTTATTTTTGTGTTTTATACTATTAGGAAAACTATAATTTCCTTTAAATGTTATATTATCAAGCATCTTTTGACAGTTTCGTAATAAAACCTGTTATAACGAAGAAACAGAAATAATCTCTATCTTCCTACAGGAAATTAAAATACATCTCATTTATAAATTCTCACAAGACTGCTATGCACATCATTTTAAAGTAAAAAATTAGCTTCAAAAAAGATGATTTCGAAGACATTCCCTTTTCTTTATACTATGAAAGTTTCAGATATCAGATTCTCTTTTGATTGTTGATTACTATATGATGAAAAATTAGAGTTGTATTGATTTTAAATTGTTACGTTTGTGATCAGCACCACAAAATTAACTGGAATTAACAGTTTAGATTCAAGATACAATTATTGCGTTGATCAGTGTTATTATTATTGGTAATCTTCCCGTCACGAGTATACTGTAAAATCAATTATGATATGCGTCTCTGTTTGTGCAGGACCATGGCTATGACTTCAAGGCCGATATATGGTCACTTGGCATCACGGCCATCGAGATGGCTAGCGGCACGGCTCCGTACCACAAGTATCCCCCGATGAAGGTCCTGATGTTGACGCTGCAGAATGATCCACCGACTCTGGACACCGCCGCAGACGATAAGGATCAATATAAGGCGTACGGGAAAACATTCCGGAAAATGATTGTCGACTGTTTACAAAAGGATCCTACTAAGAGGTAGTTTCTAATCGTATTCTCGTACTCCTACATTCTATTGAACGTTTACCAGAACAGTTATAGCAGTTAGAAGTAAGCGCGGAATTTTTATTGTAAGTTATATTTCGCTAGTCGGAAGCCGCTGATATAGAAGATTGTAGTATTCAGTGTATAGACTTTTAAAATCAAGTCAACAAAGGGTCAATGCGAGCGTAAATCGAGAAATATTTAGTAAACGCATTTAGTAACGCATTGGTCAATGCGTTAAATCAAACTAAAACGTATGTTTCGATCGATTTAAAAAATATCTGTCTTTAATTAGGTTCTGGAATTTAAAATGCTATTAAAGAAAGATATTTTTAAAATCACATAATAAAACAGAAAATAAAAATATCCAAGTGTCACAGTAACAAATATTTTAATATCGGAAGAACCGAACTCAAGATCATCATTAAGTAACGATTTATATTCTTTCAGACCGACAGCCACCGAACTGCTGAAGCATCCCTTTTTCAAAAAAGCCAAAGACAAGAAGTATCTGCAGCAAACACTAGTGGCGATAGGTCCTAGTTTAGAAACGCGTGTACAAAAGGTATACATTTATGTGCGTTTGCGTTGCGCATTACGAAATTCTGCGAGTTGAACTCGAAAAGAAATTAAATATATTAAAAATATTAAAATGAATTAAAATATATTAAAATATATTAAAATTAAATAATTAAAAAAAAATTAAAATTAAATTAAACTTAGAAAGTGTCCTGTGCCTGTAACATTTTCTCGATCGTCGTTTTAACTTGCAGAACGATCGTGATGGTAATTTTGTGTTGTTATTGTTAACATTGCTAGATGTTAAAAAAATCTCATTATTTCCTTGCAGGCATCGAAAAGACAACCTGGTACGTCAGGTCGCTTGCACCGGACGGTGACCGGAGAATGGGTCTGGTCGTCGGAAGAAGAAGACAGTGGCGCATCCAGCGGTGAGGAAGCCGCCAAAGAGGCGTTACCGGTCAATACCATCGAGAAAGCTAGTAGCGACGAAGAAGCTGGCGAGAACGAGGAGTACGAGGGTCAAATCAAATTAGCGCCGAGTCAACTCGTGATACAAGCTGCTGAACCAAATGTTCCTATCAATCTGGTACTCCGATTACGGTACGTGAAATCGTCATTATGAATCCGTTCGTTCAAGCCAAGTTCAGAATTATGACTCCGTTATTGAATATATTTTTAAAAACACACAAAAAACTCAATTTATTTTTGAAAACAAATCTGAGTCAGCTTTTTATCGTCCTATTCCAGCAAACATGATGTACTAATGATGTCAGAAATAAACGTTTCTGACGTCATTGAACTTTTCAGGGATACTGATACATACCGAATATCTCAAAAAAAGTGTCATTTAAAATAAATGCTAAATGGTAGAAAATATGAAGAAACATAACAAGATTTTTTCGTAGCATTTTTTATGTGGAATCTGGCAGTGTAAAAAAAGAAACTTTTTTCGAATTTTTTCAAGGTCATTTTAAAGCCATCTTTTTTTCACGAAATCATATAGTTTTTTTTTTTTAACACAAATCAATTCTTCCGTTCGTTTTGCATATAAAAACACTAGAGTAAAATTATCGAAAAGTGAATACTTCTCGAGATATTACTTTATATTCTGATATTTTTTAATACAAAAAATGTGAAATATCTCATAAAATATTCACTTTTCAATAATATTACCTTAACACTTTTCTACATAGTAATACGAGAAAAATCGATTATTGATCATTGCACATTGATGCATCGATACATTGTCAAAATGCGAATTTTTTTAAAGGTTTCTTTATAGGTTTGTTTATAATGATTGATTCCATCCATCATTTCACATCATATAAAAGTCTTAAAGTGGTATTATCGAAAAGTGAATACTTTATAGGATATTTTATACTTTATATTGAAAAATAGCAAAATGTGAAAGGAGATATCTTGAAATTCACTTTTCAATGATCTTATCTTATCTTAATATTTTTATACGTAGAATGAATAGAGGAATCCATTTATATTTAAAAAAAACTATATAATTTCATTTGAGAAAATGAAGTTAACCTTGAAATGATTGTGAAAAATTTCGAAAAATGATTTTTCTTTTACATTTTCTTTTCTGCTAGATTCCATGTAAGAAATACTACAAAAAAATTTTGTTAAAATCAAAGCAGTTTTTTCCGACTTTAATAAATTTGTGTCTGAAGAAGTTAAAACGTCATTATGTTTGGGATGGGATTATTTACTCCCTATATTTTATTCCCACAAAAAACTAACGATCGTTATATTTTAAATAGAGGTGAATAATTAACGCAATGTTTATGTGTTAAGAGGGTATGTTTGTTTTTTATAGAAACGAGAGACGGGAACTTAACGATATTAGGTTCGAATTCACTGTCGGAGTGGATTCCGCGCAAGGGATCGCGGCTGAGTTGGTCGCCGCAGGTTTAGTCGATGGTAAGGACGTTGTGGTAATAGCGGCGAATCTGAAAAAGTTGATAGAAAGTGCAGGACAACTGCGGACAGTGACATTTTCCTTGGTAAGTGTCATATCTCATGTTGTACATTTTATTGAATTTTACTAAACGCAAAATAAGTAAATTTATGCATAATATGTAAAATTTAACATCTAAAAGTTACTAACGAAGAGAACTCGTGAACAACTACGTGATTAAAGCGCTTGTAATATTTTTCTTTATTTCGGAAGTAATTATTGCGTTTTGAAATACAAATATTTAATATTTATTTTTGATTGAGTAAATTCTTTTTATTCACAAACATATTTGCCGATAGACTTAAGGGAGGTAGAAGAATTTGATTTTGTGAAAAGTCGATAAAATTTAACTCGTTACTACGGATATAAAAATTAATACCAAATTCTTTTATGTTGTTCATACTATGTATTAGTAATATATTTTAAAAAATGTACTGGAGAATTTAAAAATATTAATATGTAGAGCTACTACAGCCCGATCTATCCTGCTGTGTATATTGTGGTTTTGCAAGGATTATAAGTGATCCAATTGACATTTTTAATAGATAGAGATAAACAGCGCTACATTTCAAAAGCTTTTTCTTATAGATTGAACTAAAAGAAAAAAATATATTCTACGAAAATTAACAAAAAAAACAAAAATATTACAGAAATGAAATAATTTATATTACAATAGAATTTAAATAAACAACATTTTTTCAATAGTGCTGTGTTAAATTTGTAGAAAATTTAATTACTCTTTAATTTAAAAAAATATCTTGATATTTTTCTTCGTTTTTGAGTTACATCTACAAAATCACAATATACATCGCGAGATGCAGCGGTTTCATATGTTAATATTTCATAAATATATTTTTACTGTCAATATGCAATATAAATAGCTTACAAAAAGATATTCAATTCCTATATCTGTAGTAAGTAGTTCAGTTTTACCGACTTTCCACAAATTCCTTTTACTTTGTTTGACGTAATTGTACGATTTGAAATGTTATCAGCGGGTTTTAATATCATTTTCTTCTTACAGAATTCCGGTTATGCAGCAAACGAAATACCAGATGACAAGGCATTAATAGGATTTGCTCAGATCTCCCTCACCGATTAAGCAGCCCCGATTGCGTTCTGAAATCTCGCAGGACAATGTTCTTAATTGGCTCATTTGTCACGTAAAGATCGGGGAGTACCAAAAGCTAATGCGAATCGACTCGGTACTGTTTCTTTTTTTCCAAGATGTTAGGCAATAAGAAATCAGGAAGAAGGTTTGACACATACACATACTCACACAACATGCGCGGACGCTAGGCATATAATTCCACATACTTATACATGACACACTAGTAGGGACGCCAGAAAGGAGACTGCCACAAAAAAATTGTAGTGGAAGGGATAACGTACGTAAGGGATAACATATACGCTACTATTCGAAGCTAGCCGAAACATGCAGCGCAAACGTGTGCTACTTTCGGTTGTATATCTTTTCCACTACAATTTCTATGCGGTCAAGTCTCCTTTCCAACATCTCTGCATACGAGTGCAAAAGTCAGTTGACCTACGCTAACGTTCGCATATTAAATCTTAGCTTTTGTTACTTTCGTTTCTTTCGGATTTTAATGAGAGCGTTGATTACAGGGCGTAGATGTTCGAAATTCACGATTAATTGCAACATTTCAATAATAATGGACCGCTCAAGTGTGCGTGTCACGATAATAAGATCATCGACGATCGTGATGCATTTCGCGTTGAGATACCGGGGCAGATACATAAAAAAACATTATCATCCAATACTGGCTTAAGGGTATAAATTTACTCTGATTAATAATGGCTGTAGTTTTACATAACCGAATTGTATCATCACCATATTACACATCCAGTTTATGTAAATATTAGCATTCGCGAGCGTTTGTTAAGTTTTTCTCTTTTTTTTTTTTTTTTTTATGATACGTCGAATGGGACGAAAATAAACGTGTAGAACGCGTGACACTTTGCGCTAGCGAGCGAGCGCAAATATAAAGGATCGAGAGAAAGTTTGATAGTCTAACTTATTTGTCCGAAAATGTAAGCGGTTTCTCTCTCGAGTAACGAGATCTTAGTTAAATATATATATTAAAAAAATGAAGAAAGAAAACAATTTGAATGTGTGCTAAGCGCAGAGTCACTATATATTGTCTATGTATCATATATACAAATTATTTGCGTATATCTTATATATGCTTTATGCTGAAATGTGTGAAAAAAGAAACAGAGAATGTTGATGAAATATGAAAAATCTTTTGTACTTAATTAAATAGACTTATAATAGAGTGAATTAATATTTTCACAGTTTTTAGATGTAGAGAGAGGGAAAAGGAAGGGGGAGAGAAAGAAAGAAAGAGAGGGAGAAGAAGGGAGCGAGAGAGAGAGAGATGGTCGAGAAATTTTTATTTTGTGCATCTTGACATTTTTTAATTAAGTCATCTTTTTGTCAAACGCATCATAAAATGGATAAAGTTAGGATTACATGACGGTAATCTGAAGCAACCTGTACTTTACGATTTCGCGGACGAAGTGTTCACCATTTTTCATTCTTATATCTATCATAAATCGGAAGGAAATATATTCCTGCAACGTTATTGACGTTTGTTATGCCTTCGCTTATATCTAAAATAGGGCTTTACTGCAAAAAGAAAAAAAAGAAATCGAACGCAAGCATAAACTTTTTATAGTGGTTTCAGACAAGGTACTATAGCAATACACATTTTTTTAGGGAATTTTACGAGACGCATGATACTCTTGTTCCTCTAAATTTCTTTACGGACAAACCGGAGTTACACTTGAGATAAATTTGAGAAACGCAGGAGTCTACGAAGTGAGATTTTTCTAAAAGATTTACGTCGAATGGAAAAATTGCAATAGAAAGAAGAAGAAGAATTAAATTCTTAGTATTTCATAGCTTGCTGACACGAGCGCATGAATATTCTTGAACGAATGGCATGCGAATGGGCATACGTAATTTACGTTCGTTGCTTCGTGTTGGTTATTCAAACGATCAATATAATTCTGCATTTTATCGATTTTTACACACCTGCAAACCGCAGCGGCTACATTGCACAACGATATAAGTAGTAAAGAATTCTCGCATTCTCGCTTATTTTTGTTTTAATAACTTATCGCATCCGGCAGTTCAACGCGTACTATATATGTGTTATACTATGTTCCCATGAATTCTCGCTCTACACCATATCATTTAATAATTGCTATATTTCTTTAATGTTGGAAATTTGCACGCGCCCTTTTCGCATCTTCTTTGCCATATTGCGACAGTCATACATAGAAAACGCTAAACCCGCACGAGACCTGCGGAGCAAAATCAATTGTAGTTATGATCGAAATACAAATCTGTTGACACACATGATGGTTGTGTGTGTGTGTGTGTGTGTGTGTGTGTGTGTGTGTGTGTGTGTGTGTGTGTGTGTGTGTGTGTGTGTGTGTGTGTGTGTGTGTGTGTGTGTGCACAATCTATATATATCCACACACATACACACACACACACTTTATATATACACATATATACACACACACACACATATATGAGAGAACATATATATATATATATATATATATATGTATGTATGTATGACTAAGTATGTATATATATATACTTAGACATATCTCGAACTGCGTGGTTGTTAAATACTGAGATATGATACTGAGATACATACTTTCATGCTTAACAATTTTATGAATAAGCAAGAAGTGAATTAAGTGAAGTAATTATTGTTAAGTCGCAAAACGATAATAATTGCACGCTAGTTTTAATTTAAGTAAATTTTTACAAATAGCTGTGTATTCTCTCAATGGTACTACATGTGTGTGTGTGTGTGTGTGTGTGTGTGTGTGTGTGTGTGTGTGTGTGTCAGAATACATGCGAAGTGCATCGGAAGATTTCTGGTATGAAATGAAACAATTTTGTATTTATCGAAATCCTATTTGAATGATAATTTTTAAATGAAAGTTATTTAAAGTTGTCAAATTAACGATGGAATTCAAAATTGGCGAATTTTCTAAGCTGCATGCAACTCGAGAGCGAAACTACAAAATATCGCATGGATTATCTAGGCTATTTTTTTACTCCCGATTACTGCTAACCGAAAGTTGGCATAACAGAGAAAGTATGCGTTTTTTCTGAAATTGCATCGTTGTTACCAATATTTGCGAAAACCATATTATAAATCGCCGTCATATATTTTTCCATATATCATTAAATATTTTATTACGTAACTATGCATAATATTTGAATTGATCGTTATTTTGAATATAACTTATATGATAAAATATGATGAAAGAATTTCTTACCTCGATGCCATTGAAAGAACAGTGAAGAATAAAATAATATGTTTAAATGACGTTCAAAAACATTATTCATATTATTTATAACAAATATTAGGATGTACCGGAAATGCTTCAGCGCGCGCAGAAAAATTTCATCCGCAAAGCAAATATTTTGCATAGAAATGCAAAGCGTGCATCTCGAATATTTGCCTTAAATAATATTCTATTGTCCTTTCTCAAGGACATAAATGTTTTTAAAACGTTAATACGACACTACGACACTATACAATTGTTTATGTGTTGTTTATGTGTATTATTTTATTTCTCGTCATTTTTTCAGGCATCACAAAAGATTCTTTCGTACGAAGTTGTATTGAAAAAATAAATAAATTCAAATAAGCATAGTTGCATAATAAAATTTTTAATGAGATAAAAAACTGTTCACATCATTCACATATAGAGTTTATTTTCCATTACTGCATTGATTGCATTAGTTTATACTGTTTCTCTTTTTCTCTCTTGAAATTTAGTAAGAGAGAGAGGAAAAAAGAACTGGTGCAACTAACGCAGGCAGTGTAACAATAGAAAACAGACCCGTGATATCTAATGGTTCTGCTTTTCACTCGAGCGCAACCTAATATAAGGTCTGTTCGTTTTCGCTGCACCGCTGTGCAATAAGTTGAAGTGAGAAAACATACTTGTCTCGCTTCAACTTATTGCACTAGTTCAGCGGTGCAGCGAAAACAAACAGACCTATGGTCAGTTACCAAAAAGTTGCAACATTTTTTCGATAAGTTTATGAACGCATCCCGTGTTCAATAGGATAATTTGTTTTTTTTTTTTGTCATTCTCAGGAGATACAATTTCCTATTGGATATGAGATGCGTTGCGAAACTTATCAAGAAAAGTAAATTGTAACCTTTTTGTAACTGATTATACGCTAATTGACTAACTTTAACAAGCTCTCATTTAAAAATTACCGTTCGGTCTGGATTTTGACGAAAAGTTGTTTCGTTTGACCAGATATTCGCTGATATACTTGATATGTGGTTATTCTGGAATACTCTGTATATTATATATTCCATAGCACTCGCATAGAATCTTTGTGCATTGTGTCTCGCTAGCAAGTGGTTTCCAATCAGTTGAAGAACATAATTAACAATGTCGTCACTATGTGCCTTATCCGGAGATAACGCGTATTTGTAATGTCGAAATTTTCGTGTTTTCACCTTGGTAAAGTGAAAAAAATGCTGATCGATGATGATTTAGGATTCACAGAACGGAGAGACCTTCACGTTCGTAACGCGATCAAGGCGGTGCCAAAATTAAGTGTGCTATACGTAGCGATTAAAATATGTATACGAAGGAAACAATAATTTATTTGTATCAATATCAAACGTGTTGGCAACGAGAAACATTTGTACTTTATTCCATCGCACGTCACTATTGACAATCACGCGAAGAAGAGTTGCAGTAACAGAGTTGTAGATGAGTAATGATATTCAACACCGACGAGAATCGCTGAAAGTCGACAGTGAAATTGACTTTACAACTTCATCATTGAACAAACTTTTAAATTTTTATTATCTGTTGGATTTCAAATATTGAGCATTGTCTATTACGCAATATTGTGCTAACGAACGTTCGTCTGCTTTTTCGTTTAATCTTACCACTTGATAGTGAAGAAATTTACCTGCTTTACTTCACCAATCATTGAGTTATAATATTGGAAATAAAAGTAATACAAGGTAAACAAATTTAACTCAATAATAGACGGACTCCCTCACTCGCTCACTCAGTATTGCTTCCAGGAAACTTTGCGGATATCCCCCAACACCATTAAATGATAATATACGGACGAATATTTAAGAACATCAAAAGGATTCTTGATAATTAAAAGGATTATCGATTTATAACGAACAGAGTTCAACATCGATTTATCGATTGATCAGTATCTATCTTTAGGAACGCTTGAATTACCTATGTTGCAATTGGATATAGCCAACCACAGCACTGTGTGTCTAGAGACATTCCTAGAAAACCTTCTCTTGAAACAGCGACTTGTGATTAGACTGTGTCCAATAGCAATGTGGGCAATGGATACACATCCTCTATCTTTGAATAGAGTTCGTTCAATAGTGTTAGGGTGCATATTTTAAAGAACACCTACAGCATCGACGAGGTCCTCTATATTTTAAGAGATCCTATTTATTTAAAGAGAGAAGCGATTATAAACATAATGGTCTGTATTTTGAACTATATTTTATCGATAAAAGTATCTTAAATGTGGCTTCTTAGTAGAGATGGGCAAAATCATTAATGTTTAAAAAACATCTACGTTCGCTCCTTGAGGATGATATTACATCTAGAGAAAATGTTAGGAACTCTAAAAATCCTCTATCCGATAGTCAATCGGTATACCCGACAAACTCGTACGACGCATCCTCAATGAGCGAACATCGATGTTTGGAAAAATATTGATAATTTTGCTCATTCCTACTTCTCGGCCAATCAGTAAGTCTGTTCGTTTTCGCTGCACCACTGAACTAGTGCAATAAGTTGAAGCGAGACAAATATACGTTTTCTCACTTCAGCTAATTGCACTAGTTCAGCGGTGCAGCGAAAACGAACAGACCTAGTACTAGGTTTCTAATCTACTTTTAGAAGTACCTTTATCAATAAAAAAGAGGTCAGAATATGGGTTATGTCTATTATTTATTATATGAATTAAAATTTTAGCAGAAATTTTATAAAATGTATCTTTTCATCGCATATACATATTTTTATGACGATTTTACTTTCTTCTTTAAAACTACTTCCTTTTTCTTAATTGTTTTCTTTTTTACAACCGGTTTCTTTTTCACAACCGCTTTCTTCTTTTCAGTCACAGGTTTCTTCACCCGTTTTACTTTATCACTTGTAATTTCTTCATTTCCATTTAATGCTTCAAACTTTTCTTGCACTTCCAGTGCTTTCTTTAATAATTCGCCCTTAAATATTTCGTCTGTAGGATTAAGAGCATAAGATTGTTCAGGTTTACTTGCTTCTCGTGCCATTTTTTGCTCTATTCTGTTTATATATTTTCCAGCTGCTTTTTTTGTCAATGATTGCCGATACTAAAAGTTCATAAATTATAATTGTATATCATAAATTATAATAGGTACGATATTGAGAAAGAAAGAAAGAAAGAAAGAAAGAAAGAAAGAAAGAAAGAAAGAAAGAAAGAAAGAAAGAAAGAAAGAAAGAAAGAAAGAAAGAAAGAAAGAAAGAAAGAAAGAAAGAAAGAAAGAAAGAAAGAAAGAAAGAAAGAAAGAAAGAAAGAAAGAAAGAAAGAAAGAAAGAAAGAAAGAAAGAAAGAAAGAAAGAAAGAAAGAAAGAAAGAAAGAAAGAAAGAAAGAAAGAAAGAAAGAAAGAAAGAAAGAAAGAAAGAAAGAAAGAAAGAAAGAAAGAAAGAAAGAAAGAAAGAAAGAAAGAAAGAAAGAAAGAAAGAAAGAAAGAAAGAAAGAAAGAAAGAAAGAAAGAAAGAAAGAAAGAAAGAAAGAAAGAAAGAAAGAAAGAAAGAAAGAAAGAAAGAAAGAAAGAAAGAAAGAAAGAAAGAAAGAAAGAAAGAAAGAAAGAAAGAAAGAAAGAAAGAAAGAAAGAAAGAAAGAAAGAAAGAAAGAAAGAAAGAAAGAAAGAAAGAAAGAAAGAAAGAAAGAAAGAAAGAAAGAAAGAAAGAAAGAAAGAAAGAAAGAAAGAAAGAAAGAAAGAAAGAAAGAAAGAAAGAAAGAAAGAAAGAAAGAGAGAGAGAAAGAAAGAGAGAGAGAGAGAGAGAGAGAGAGAGAGAGAAAAGAAAAATAACTTGACTATAAATTTATTTTTGAGATATGAAATTAGATTCTTTTACAATACCTTGGCAGGAGAAACATAATTGGGATTATCCCACAGAATATCGCCATTGAAACTTTTGGCAAATATCTTAACTGGATTTAATACAAATCTTGGCCCAATTTCAGCTAACGCACCATCTTCAGTTAAAATTTGAAAATTCCGGAACCATATCCTGTGGTCTAGAATACTAAATATATACACATGATCATAGAATGGCTGGCTTTTAGGATGATGATATGGCACACCAAATATTTGAGTTAAAAGTTCCTTCAAAAGGCTGTAATGTGTATGTTTAATAAAAGATTCATCAAATGAGAGCAGTGGTCGAGATCCCTTCAAACAGTTTCCAGTCAACTTCAGTTCTCCCATTGTGTAAACTATAATATGTGTTAGATACAATTATTCTTCAATTCTGCTGTACAAATTTCAATGAAAATAGATGAAATATACATACTATTCTCCACAAGAAATTTTACACTTGGACCAGCAGATACATTAGCAATCCACATATAAAGATCTCGCTTAAGCCGACCTTCAAAAAGAATGGCTTTATTGCAATTTTTCATCTCGCACATTTCATTTACCACTTGTAGAGTCTTGGTGCGTTCCATTTTGCATTCGGGTCGATGATGTGGCATAAGTGTCTTCAAGTCTTCCATAAGATGCCGATGCCTGTGATTGATTCCTCGAGTAGCAAATATCAATACTCGATGCCTGTTGATCCATTTGGGCTATGCATAAATATACAGAAACATTACTTTTTGCTAAAATCTTGAAATGATATTTTGTAAGGTTAGGAAATCGATCGTATGTTTAACCCAAAATATATCTATTATATGTAATTACATATTTATTATATGTAATTAAATAATATTAATTTTTATATTCATATTATAAGTATCGAAAAATAAAACATTGTTAAATTTTATTAAATTCAAAAAGAAGGCCTTTTTCTTTCATATGTACTAAGCTCAATTAGTTGATTTATTTACCTTTGTAGTAACTAGTTCATCTGATATTTTCTTTGCGGGCACTACTTGTACATCATTGTTTTCCTGCTTTCGTTTTCTCTTTAATACGTTATATTGCTTTAACGTCATCGTTCTTTATGAATTAAATAACAACCGTGTATATAAGTGTGGTACACGTGTTCCCTCTCTCTTTTTCTTCTTCTCTTCGCTCAGTTACGGTTGCGGGCTGCTTAAGCCGGTATCAGTTTACGGATTGAGGATTGAAATTGAATTGAAATTTGACCAATCTGCGCAAAGTTCACTAAATTTCACTAAACTTCAGATCAGTTAACTTTGTATTGATTGGCCAAATTCAATTCAATCTCAATCCCCAACCTGTAGTCTGATAAGGGCTTTATGCGTAGTCTACAGCGAGCAGTAGGAGTATGTTTATGAGAAATAAAGTCAGCGGTACATGGTGGTTGCGTTCCGCGCTGGATCGCTTGCTAGATGGAAATGTAGCTGTGTTCTGATTGGTGCATTTCCGAAAATGGATGGAAATACATCAACCATAACACAGTGTTTCTCTTCAGTGAGCAATTCAAACGAAAACAAGCACCGTGTGCCGCCGGCTTTAGTGTTGGTTCACAATAGATATTTAACTAATAGATAATAGGTATTTTAAACTTAAGTCACAAGAAATTGACTAATCACAGTTATTCTCTTCACATCGACTGTGATTGGTCAATTTCTTAAGGCTTAAGTCTTAAAATACTTATTGTGAGCTGATATTATTGTAGACCGACACTAATAGTTCCTGCACACAGGACGCGGCAATGCTTGCCGCGCGGCGGAAGCTTACGCGGTAACCAATTAACATGCTGTTTTTTCATAAGAATTAAAAATTTATTGGCTACTACGGCGAATTTCCGTTGCTGCGTCCTATGCATAAGAGCCATAAAACGATCTTAAGCCAGCGGCACACGATGCTTGTTTTCATGCTGAATTGTTTGCTGGATGAAAATACTGCATTTTGATTGGTGTATTGTCATCCATTTTTGAAAATACATCAATCAGAACGCAGTATTGCTATCTAGCAAGCAATCCAGCACGAAAACAAGCATCGTGTGCCACTGGCTTAAGATTCGACTATGAATACCGGCCTAAATTAACGATAACAGCTTACATCGCACTCAAGGAAGACGAGATAGAAGTAAATTTTTACAGTAATACAGATTTGTGTATATGTAGAATAAATCAATAAATAGTGTTCGATTGACGAAATATTGAAAATTGGGAGCGACACAGCGAAAATATGTTGAAGCCGAAAGCTCTCACGCAGGTTCTCAGTCAAGCGAACACTGGAGGTGTGGAGAACACTCTGTAAGAATTCCGATAAAATATACGAAAAAATATACGAAATAGTATTTTTCCTAGGATATTTTGTGTATGAGTCATCTTATCATATCTAGCATTTCTTCTTGAAGTTTATAACACATCTAAGCATTGCTTTACACTATAAGGAGTGTCATATATTCTTTTGATTAACATGTTCCTTGCCGAAATAATTTTATATGACTTGTCCACTCTGCAACCGATAAAGTGGCCCATAGTGGCTCGCGTTATTTTCTTACGAACCAAATTTTATTTGTGAGATAATGTGCGTCTTGTAATTATCAAGGTATTTCATTAAAATGTTGCCAATATTTCACTACAATATTGCCATCTCATTATGATATTGTAAGTTTTATATGTGATTATATTTCATTTTAGAATCAAAATATTATTACCTGAATGGAAAATTCAACGTGACCCACCAATGGCACAGGACATGTTAATAATAATGTTGATAATAATTTCTATAATGTGGTGCTTGTAATTTGTAAAGATTAATATTGATCTAATACAATAAATATTACAGATTACTTAACAGAGATGGTGGATTATTAGCATACAGTGGCTATGGAGATAAGGATGCTAGAGTGACAGCTGCCATTACCAGTAACATTTGGACTGTTTATGAAAAAAATGGGAGAAATGCCTTTAAGGAAGATGAGTTACAGTTTGTTCTAATGGATTGCATGGTAATGATGTATATAATAATATATCCAATGAATTTTATTAGGCTAATAAGTAGGAATTTATTATACTTTGCTTATAGGAAGGAAAAGTTGTTATCACAGAAGTAGCCAACTTATTGTTATGTTTGTATGCAAAAGAAAATGTAGGATTTGGATTGTTGCGGGAAAAAGCACAGGCATTGGCTCAATATCTTGATCAACCCTTAAAGACAATAGCAAGTATGCCTTAAGGGAATCATACTTGATCTGTTTCAATATATCTTAACATTATATGTTTATTCTGTAATATTTATTTATCATTTAAGAACTTGTGATTTATACCAATACTGTATACATATGTATAAATATATTTTTATTAATTTTAAGATAGTATATGTGTGCATGCTTTTATCTTCGTGTACATATAGATATCTTAACATACAGATATCTTAAGTAAAAAGATGCAGAAATAGGTGAAAATAAAATGGAAGAGTTGCATGTAACTTTAATAATATAATAAATCTTTTATTCTTCATATAAGTTACAATTAATAAAAACAATTTGCATTTAATTTTATCTCACTTTATAAATCACACACTATAATCATAAAATTTATGTAAGCTTACCTATCAGTAACGTAGTGTTAATAGAGTCGCCATATGTGTAAATAACTATTATTATTATTATTTATTTAATGCATAAGTCATCTGGAAATTCAGTTTTTTTTTTATATAATTTATTTGGAATTTATATATGACTGCGTCGGCAAAAAATAATTAACAATATTACATGTTATGTATATTTTATTTTTCTTAATCATCGCTTATGGTAAATTGCACTACTATATAAGAATTATTGCAGAGAAATTTCTAAAAGTGTTTAATAACTTTTAATGTACACCAGAATCATTGCACTTTGCACCTTAAATTTCCGTGAAATAAATGTTAATAGATTTTGATTATTATACATTTGCGCGTACACATATAATGACATGAAAAAGTATGTATGTTTGGACACTGAGACTTTCTCACACCAGAGTATTCATACTAAGAATAGCATCGAAAATAATAATACATGTTGAAAACTGTGCCAGTCAAACGGTGAATTTATGTTGAATATTATCAAAAGCATCTGTGTACTTGCGTAATATATTTTACAGAACAGCGAATAATATCGAAAATAAAACTAATATATTATGAAAATAAAATACACATGTGAAACAATAAGGTACGCTATTTGCGATACTGCCATGTAGTACGATAATTTCTTTTTACATTGCTTATCTCTTGTATAATAATTTTTCTCCTATCCTTCGCGACATTCAGTCCTTGATGAGGTGTACACGCTACTTTGATCTTTAACGTCATGAATAACCGGTAAATTTATATCTATCATTTTAGAGATCTATCTATATGAAAGTACAAACTTTACGAGTAAAGTGGGGTGTGTCCGCCCCCGTTGTATGCAGTAAGTGATAATTAACATTAATAATATGCCGACTAAATTAATTATCGGATACATGTGTGAATTTGAGCTAGAAAATAATGTCTTACATTAGCCTAAACAACATTATATATAGTATGGGATTAACAATATTGGTCCTAAAGTTTCTAAAATTCTGCAGTGCCAAATGAGACCCATTTTGTCAGCCAATTAGTGGTATCGTCTTTTTTTCTACGCGCTCTCATTGTTCAAATATACGATGTCGAAACGGTAATAATATAACACAGCTACCGATGATATACACAATGATGTTGTATAAAAATGTAATCGACCATTTAGTACCCATTATAAATCGTTACTTTGTCAATGTCTGCAGAGGGAATTGCGTATATGTGAGACAATAATTTCGCGGTGTGTACAATACTAATGGCACATCTATAACAAGCCAATATTATGTAATGCTTTTCCACTTAACATCATTAAATATGAATATATTGTCTAGGACACTTTCTTAAAATAGGCCTTTGACAATTGATGTCCTACATCCGTCACAAATATTCGCGCGTGTTACTACGGATGTAGGGGATCATATTGCATTCGTGAATATCCTGTGTGACGAACGAAATAATTTGAATTTCTCTAATTACACGTCTTCTTCATCTCCTCATTGATTCGCGACAACGAAATCGCATTCTGTCTTTTTTTCAATTTTTTGTGTAGCATTGTGAAATATGAGACGAATATTTCGGAATCTCTTATACGTTATACATACATACATACATACATACATGTGTGTGTGTGTGTGTGTGCGTGTGCGCGCGCGCGCGCGCGCGCGAGCGTGTGTTTCTCATGCTGCTTAAAATTCTGTTCCGCAATGGCATTTTCGCGGATTTTTAAATTTCCGCATTTTCTACACGCATCTCAGATTTCTGTATTCCTAATAAATAGTGTAATAAAATTGCTTCGTTTAGAAAAAATCCATTTTTCGTATGAACAGTACATGTAAAAAGTCAGCTTTACATATTCATAGTTATCAGTTTATATATGTGTTGGGTTTTGGAAATTATCACGTTAGGTATACAAATATTATTTTGTTTTTTTTTCTTTATGTAGCGGCAGTGCGAAGGTAAGTAATTTAGACATCTTACGATAAGGACACGGATGGGAAAAAGAACTCTTTCTTTTTTCTTTTTTTTGTACAATTTGGTACAAAAGTGACGCATTCTACGTACTACCGAAGATAAAAGCTACCGTATATTGTAGAAATTTTTATGAAATCAATTGCCTCCACAAATGTCATTGTTCGTTAAGATATTTAATAAAGCTAAAACATAACTGCAGCCATTACGGAATAACGTTATTAGTAATATTTAACTCTCTCTCTCTCTCTCTCTCTCTTTCACGCACAGATTATAGCATTTCATCTGCTTTTAAAGCAGATAGATGTGCTTAATAGAAAAAGGAAGGTTTCTGACTTTATGCCTGTCGTATTATAGCGATTATATCTGTGTATAAACTGTACGAAATTATTAAACTATCCCTTTCCCGTTTTGAGATCAACATTCTTTTTCTTTTGTTCTTTCGGGCATTGTTATAATGAAGAGGAATAAATTAATAATAACGTGATACTTTCGGTTTTAAAGCTTCATGTACAATCTTGCTATGTAATAAATACATATCTATAAAATTTGTTTATTCTTTGCACAATAATGTCCCTATACGTAAACATTACGATAGAAATAGAGAGAATATAATGGAGAAGTATACGGGTTTTACAATAACGTTTTAAATGTAAAAACGAAAACAGTCTTCATCTTGTCGCAGCGCAGTTGATCAAACTAAAGGAGGCAAGGGAAAACAAGGACGGATCTAGACATTACATGCGTGAACCCTTCTGCTGCAAAACCTAGAATGTAATCCAATAAGTCTAAGCTTAATAGAAACGTATTAGTTGCTTCACTTACAATTATATATACTTAATTCTAGATACGGATTCGAAAAATAGGACGTTATACACGAGGTGTTTATTATATGAGAATTATTGTTCCGCCTCTGTTACATATTGTTGCGTCTCTTTTTCTCATGTGTATAAATTAATTGGATGAATGTATTGACACGCTAATCTAATTAGAGTTACTGCATATTCCCCAAAAGCCGATTATTAAAGAAAGCAAACCCATAATTAAGTAGATATTAGTAAATACTAATCGGGGATTAACATCTCTCGTATGAAGAAATTGTATAGGAGTCCCCGACTTCACTCTTTTGTTGCGCGAAAACATAATGTATGATGAATAATTCAGCATGCAACAATGATTCATGCAGGTCACAGGGCATAAAGTAACCAAACCAATAATAAAAGAAAAACTTCTTTATTCAACGAACGGCATGCGGTACAATAATATGGTACATACAACAAATGTCAGAGGCAGAACATGCTCATGCGAACAGGCCTCTGGGCTTCATAAACTATTAGGTGGTTTTCCAGGCTTTAATAATGAGTATGTGTGTAATGTATAAAGCGCACATGTATAGAACATACATTTATATATGTACACACACACATACACACAAACATACACACATGCGCCCGCGCGAAACAAAATGAGAATTTACAAAATCCACGATTTTTTCTTTCCAAATAAATATAATTTTCACTCATTTCCAGGACATGTAAAACCACCTAATAAAATCTGCTGTTGAACATTTTATGTCTACAAGAGAATTCTTTTCCTTTTGTGTTTTGTTTCCTTTTGAGAATAATTAAAATAATTCTAAGCAACTGTCAAAAATATTGTAGAAAAGAATGTACAGAGGATTATATTGCTGAATTTAGCATGACTGATAGGATATGAGGTAATCCAATCTCATAATAAAAAAAAAAAAACGTGTGTGTGTGT